GACATGTTTAATTGGTCTCTTTCAGGCACCTGATGGTCCCTACTGGGATTCAGGGGGAGTTGAGGATTATTCCTGATACTCCTGAGACCTTAGTTGTACTTGGAATAAGGGGGTGACTATGGCCTTAATGTGGCTATGTAGCCCCTCCCTGTACACAGATCCTGGAGTGCCCCCTGGTTTTCAGAGGAACTCTAGGAGATGAAGTGGGAGAAGAGGTGCCAGGGACACTGCTGGGAGAAAACAAGGAGTGAATCAGAGTGACAAAGGTAAGAACCTCTATTAGGAACTGCCTTGTGGCAATAAAAGTGGCAAAATGTAATTATTTTCCCACTTGTATTGCATCTGCACATAGCTAGTTGGTGACCCTGTTTAGGGTGACCTGGACCTCTTGGGGAGGGACCACCCCGAGAACCACTTGCACGGTTGCTGTGAGGAGTATTTTAGGTATCTGATGGATAAAGCCACTCAGATGTGGTCTGAGTTAGATTCTAGCTGTGCAGATCCTATGGAGTTGGCTGAGGCAGGATCTGTATGTACTATCTGGGTAGAGTTTGAGCTTGTTGGTTCTAACCAAGTGGATAAAGTCCTCAGAGTTGTGAGCTTGGCCATTTCCATATTAGGTCTATATCCCTCCTGTCTGGTCAGTGTTATCCAGGAGGTGACATGTGGCTGGGTCCAGGCCATGGTTAATGCATGAGGGGGTGGTTCTGCCTGCAAGAGGTAATGGTTGTCTCCTCCTCAATAAACCACAGTTGCAACTGGTGGTACTAGACAATTTTCATGCAGTTGACAACTTTATATTTTGGGAGAAGGTTGTGGAGAAGATAGTTGGGCTGCAGCTTCAAAGGGCTATAGAGAACACAGATCATATGGACCCTTTTCTGTCAGGATTCAGCCTGGGCATAGTACTTCAGCATTGCCAGTACTGTATTTGTGGATGAGCTCTGGAGGGCTCTGGCTGGTGGTAAGGCATCCATCCTGATCTCCCTGATCTCTCAGCAGGTTTTGATACCATCTATCATGGTATCCTTCTGCACTGGCTTAGGGGGATGGAGTGGGGGGCACAGTGTTGCAATAGTTCTTCTTTCTCTGAGGTTGGTTCCAGTTGGTGTTGATAGGGGGAAAGCAATCAAGACCTAGGCCTGTGCTCTGTGGAGTCCCTCTCCTCACTCCTGTGTAACATATACATGAAACCTCTGGGTGAGGTCATCCACTGGCATAGGGTAACATATCATCAGTGAAACTCAGTTATACATCTCTGCTTCTGGTCAATCAAATGATGCCTTCAAGGTTTTGTTTCGGTGTATGTAGGTTGTGGGGGACTGGATGGGAAGGAATAGGCTTCAGTTCAACCCTAGAAACACCAAGGGGCTCTAGGTTATAGGTTCCTCCAGTGCTGGGGATTTTCTATCTTTAGTTCTAAATGGGGTGACATTCCCCCAGGTAGAATGGGTAAATAATTTGGGGTTCTGCTAGACTTTTGGCTGCTGTTTTTGGTTACTCCACTGTCTTGTAAGCTGCACTGGTTTCTGTATGTTTCCATATGTAATTCAAAGTGCTGGGTATTATCTATAAAGCTCTTCAGGGCACAAGGCTGGGTTATTTGCATGACTGCCTGTTTCCCATTAGTTCTGCTCATCCCACCATGCTCTGTCAATGCAATGCTATCTGATGGAATCAGGAAGTGCACCTTCTCTGTCATGGCAATTGCCACGTGAGATTGGGATGGTCCTGATCTTATTGGCCTCTTGTAAGGTTCTAAAAGGCTCCGGCTTTTCTCACAGGCATTGGGCCAGAATGTTGAGTAAATTCATCTCTAGGGAGCGTATTGACTGATAACCTCAGTTGCTCATTTGTTTATCTTTGATATGCACTGTTTTTATGACAGTTTTTGTGATGGAATGTATCTACGAAGGGGAGGGTGATGTGCTGGATTGCAGCAGAGAGCAAGGCTATCAGGAAGGTGGGGCTGCATTCCAGGAAGGGAAAGGAGACAAAAGACAACACAGTCCAGAGGTGGAGTGTGGGAAGCATAAGAGGTTTAGGGTAGCCACTCCCTAAAATCTCCCAGGGTATAACCACTAGTTGCAGTAGTATAGATTTAATCTGGCAAGATTTTGTCTATAAGGTGTAAGCAAATAAAGGAACTGAACTCAGCTGGACTGTTTCACCATCGTTCTTGGGATGGGCCTGACAGTTTTTATTTGTTTGTAAGTGGTCCAGAGTCTTTAGTGAGTTGGGCAGCTGTACAAATTGAATCAATTTGCTCAAAATATTGAATAATTCAAGTCTATTCACTTTATCATACACTTTCCAAAATGAACAAATGTACAATAATCTTTCTCACATTCATAGATTTCTCAATTACTGGCTGAAGAGCAACAATTTGGTCTGCATATCTCTTGCTCAGCCTAAAGCTACACTGCATTTTCCCAACTTTGCTCATTGACACTTTTCCTATCCTTGCAGTCAGAATTCTGCCAAATACCTTTCCAGGCACACTCACACTAATCCCTCTGTAGATTTTGCACGCATTCTTCTTCTGCCCCTTTGTATAAGTAAGCAATAAAATAATTCTTCCCATTCTCAGGCACAGATACCACCCTTGCATATAATTTAAACCAGTTGCACAGCCATTCCACTGGCAAACTATATCCAGATTTTAACATTTTCCCAGTTATACCATCTATGCCTGCCACTTTATCGCTTTTCAACATGGTCACAGCATCTTTGAATTCCTTTTTATAATTTCTTTTCCTGGATACATTTATAGCACTAGTTTCACTTTTACTTTTCAACATATCCCAATAATTATCACACAAATCTCTAATGTTCATCCTAATGTTACCTCATTTCTGTTTCATCCCAAATCAATTTAACACTTTTATTTTTTATTCAAACCACTCTGCTGGTGGGTTCTTGTTTAGCCCTCTTCACCCACTTTCCATCAAATCACTGCATTTTGTTTGCCTCTTTTAATGTTAACTATTTCTTGTTTCCTTTGGTTGCGTTTCTTAGAAGTAACTTTTTCTCTATATGCAATATCGTTTTCTCATTCTGATTTTGCAGTGACCATTCCCCCGTATGCCTTTTTCATTATTCATTCTGGAATTTTCTTTTGCAATGAATTAATTAAAAGAGAGACCCTGAAGAAATGTCAGAGACTAAACAAGAGTCAGGGTTTGTTTCTGTTCCTCCTCAGAAAAGATCATTTCCAGCATTCAGTTAAATAATTCAACTGTTTTGTTTCACCTTAAGAATAAAGTGTGGCTTCATCCTATTTCTTTTGGTTGGCAGCAAATCTGAGTCATTATATATGCATTTTGGTTTCAGTAGGAAAGAATGACTATAAATTGGCATAAAGGGAACAATCCTTTTCACTCTTTGTAAATTGCATTAAACTGAAAGATGAGGAATCCAAAACTATTATTTGAACAACAAATTCAGAAATGTCCACTTGCAAATAAAATGGCTATATTTGAACAATCACTATTAATGAGTGGGTGTGCGTAGTATTTTACTTTCTCCCCGGGCTTGCTTAAAATACAGTGTGCAGTGGGGAGAAATAATATGCTTGTTAGCTTAGTCTGGAATGAGAACACAGCTTACCTACTGGACTATCCAATCAGTTAACTATAGTTGCAGTGGTATGATACCTGGAGAACTTCTTAGAGATCATAAGAGATCTTGTATTTTCCTCTTTAAAGACATTTTTTTTTTCTCAGAAAGAAATCCAGTATTAGCATTTCTCTTTCCATTCTCAGTGAACCTCTGAAGCTAGTTCTTTCTAATGTTAAAGAAAGGGAGGTATGTTGATTGAAAAGCATGCTGAAAAAGGAATGATTCCCTGGAACAATTCCTTCCTAATTTCCCAGCATGTCCCCAAATTGATGTTCAGTAACATCAACCTAGCATTTGTGCAAGTTCATTCCTTCTCCTTGGTTTCAATGGCAGTATATTAATTTTTTAAGAGTCCAGAGAAAGGGAATGTATGTCTCTGTGTATAAACCAAACATTCATCCTCATTCCACTTTGTCAGAAAGACCATATCAAGATCTTGAATCTGTAGGAGGTTTTCAGCACAGAATTCTCCATAACAATAAGTAGAACTGCTCTGCTGGGAAGTAAATGGAAGTAAAGTTTCTTTTCTTCTTCCACAGCCTTCTATGCCTGCTGAAAGGCCACAGAATCTCCTACAGCGGGGCACATTATTCAAAATTGGGCAAATGACAGGAAACCTTCCTTCAATAGACCTCCTTAGATTAACTTACCTTTGGAATCATGATAAAGTCCAATATAAAATCAATTCTGTTTGAAAAGAGATCTCAAAGAATTTTCCAAATCATTAAAAAAAATGTTAACTTTTATTAGAAAAGGATACTGTGTAGGAGCTTATTTGTTTATGCTACCCTATAAAGTGGTGTCTATATCAGGCTATGCCATTTCTATTATGCTTAGAAGACCATACTTCATGATGGAATTGGATTAAATCATTCTGTCAGTTTTTTTCCCTACTATCCAAGACTTTTTCATTTCCTCCCTATATCTTATCATCTCTCTGTATTATTCTCTCCTTTGTTTCTGACTATTCTCTTGTCCTTTTGGGGTTAAGAAGATAAGAAAACATAACATACGAGATTTAGTACCCACATGCTTGGCTTTATTTTCTTTATGTTACACACTTTTGTTTTAGGGTAATAGCATAAATAGGACAGATGTCCCATTTCCAGTTCAAAGAATGGGGGTTTCTGGGTGAATAAAGATGAGGAAGACAAGAGAAAATTGTTGAGTGAGAATTTAAAAATACAGGGTGGAAAGTGCTGGACTAAACAAGAGATTCCTTTTTTTAAACTTCAGCTTCATGAAATGTCATTAAAATTTCTTTAAAATGATACCACACATAGAAAGATACTGAAATGTGGAAACTAGTTAATAAAGTAACTCATTAGGCTTATGGCTTAACATACAGTATTTCAACATATCAATATGTGCTTACTTACCTGTATCCTCTATCAAGAGAAATACATTTGGATTCATGCTTGCAAGGGTTCAGTTCAGGCACACAATGGTTGATTACTTCATCACAGAGTTCTCCTGAAATAAGAAAAATTAGGAGAGCTTTTAATATAAATTTATTATGGGAAATTTATTGAGTTGTCTGAATTATGTCAGACATAAGACTAAGGAATAAAGAGTGCTTAAGAAGAAGCTATTAAGGGCAATAATATACAGTAAAACCCCCCTTTTTAAAAAAATTAATGGCCCACACATACATAAAACTTTTATTGTGGTCTAAGACTAGTCAATGCAACAAAGAGAAATAAAGAGACAATATCCAAACAATGTACAGTATATAAAACATGTTATAACACTAGAAGATGTGAGGTCTTTATGAATGATATGAAATATATCACCTAGCCGAAGCCTGAAGTCAAATTGTTAATGTTGTCATAAAACAAAACAAAATAAATTTTAAAAAACCTAATATTCCTTATCATCAGGAACACATTTAGAGATGCCTACATAACCCCAAATGAATAAACTTATCTTTGGCTGTTACAAAGACCGCAAGAACAGGAAATTTGACAGCCTAGAGATGTTATAAATTGGGTAAGCAGCAATGTGTCAGACGATAACTGAGAGTGAATTTTGTAGCTGCTGAGCAAAATTTGGCTACAGAGTGGGTAACAGAGGTCCAGAGGTGTAACAAAAGAAATGACAATGTGTACCCCATCTTCTCTATCTGGTAGATCCTTTAGGAGATGAGAGAAAGTAGGGTGGCACATAGGTATCTATAAAAATTATAGTATACTGAAACACAGCTCATGTCCACAATTGCCTGGATCCACAGGGGCACAGATGTTCCAGATACAGGATTTTGCAACATTTGTTATCAGTAACGGCCAAGAGAAGGGCCTCTAGGTGGGGACAGCACATCAGAAATTGGTAGTAATTGGCTGGGTTGGTACTATTGCACAGGGAAGTCACAAGTTTAGGTCGCCTATGGTAAAGGCTGGTTGTAGGTGCCACATTGTACCCAGAATACTATGTTTTATAGTCTTGTTAGTTTGATCGTAACTCAGTGACTACAGAGCTTCCAAGAAAACCCTTTAAGGCCAGTTTATCTCTAATGTTTGACTTCCAGTGAACAAAAGCCATCTCTAATTATTACAGAAACCAGCCCAGTTGGGCTGTACATCAGTTTCAACCAGTATCTGAGAATAACAATCCAGATCTTGACCTCCCTGCTAGTGACTCCCAGTGAGGTCTTATGTAAGCACTGGAGATATAGTTAGGAATCTGCAGAATTTATCTTAAGCACTGGGATTTATCCTCTCCATCAGCACAGTTGATACAGGGACCCCATTACACATTTATTGTCAACCACACTTTTATGGGCAAGCTGAGTCTGATGATGTGGAAACTGGCTATAAAATATATGCCAGTTTTTAAAGTACCAGAAAACTATTGTTTTTGTTTCAAACAACTATTATTACCATCCTCTGGAATTTAGAACACTGCATCATCTCAGCACAGCAACACCAATTTCACAGGAGAATAAAATAATATCACATGGACACACATTCACACTTCTAGCTTGTGTGCAATCTTATCACTGGTGCAAAGAGAGCAACTCATTTATTATTATGCTGAGTAACACTGATGGTATAAAAAGTTTTGAAATATATAGTGATTTTTTCCCCCCCACAATAATATAATAATGTGATTCAAAACCTTAATGTTAAACAGATTTAACACCAAATGAAACACCCACTTAAAGAGCAAATAATTGTCTAGACCCAAAAGATATGCTGTATTCTCAAATAAAACGGTCTCAAGTATAAGGAACCCTGCAGCTGATTTTAGTTATTACCTATTCAAGAGCTTGTTTTGTATTTCTAGTTTCTAATAATGAACAAATTCATAATAATCAAAGCCCGCAATCTTCTGAGTACTATTGCTATTATGATGAAGTTGAACTCCCTTTCTTGTAAGTAATATCCAAACCTTTTCCCTAATCTGATTATAACATCTCCTGAGCAGTGTCAGCTGCACTGAAGTTTCATATCATATGATTTCTGCACAGGGAGTCCAATATGCATTTTGTTTACAATCTTGCACATATGGACACACACATGCAGATACACACACTAATAGCACAACTCTTAACGGCCAAAATTAAACAGTACAATATGTTCTCAGAGTAGAGTCAGGTAGTAGTAGTAGTAGTAGTAATGATAATGATGATGATGATAATGATATTGATGATAATACTCATTTACAGATTCCTAGTAACAAAATCAAGTAATAAGACCTTGCATTATTGCCAGATTGCCATGATCACTGCAGTTCCAAAGTCGGGCTAAGTATTAGCTGTAAAAGATTTCCCCAAGAACTTTACAAAGTCAGAAATACATGGAGCTTCTCTACTAAATTACTTATGGCTCTCATCGTCCTAGTACAGAGGCAGCATTAACAAATGGCCCAGTGAGTATTCAGAAAACACAGAGCTGTGTGTTACTACAATATGACCCTCAGCGACTTTCAGTTTGGTTCATAGCTTGTTGCCCATTTGCTGAAGGCATCCCAAAGTGTTATAGGTCTATCATATACCAACCTGGGACTTTCTTATAAAACAAAGAAAAATCCATCTGAGCAGTCCTGAAACCGTTATAAATCCAGCTGATGCCTGTTCCGTTTATGCCAACAATGCAAAGCCAGAGTTTGATTATTATCTTTTTTAATTAGAGACTCAGTCAAAATGGAATGCCATGGAGTTAAGCCTTAGTAATTGTTAAGTATTTCTGCTAACTGACAGAAAATAAAAGCTGGCATTTTAGATATTATCAGCAACGTATACAAATACTAGTACACATTTTTGGAGATTACAGTGTACCCTATAAGGTATAATCTGTAAAAACCTAATGCAAATTGCACAATAATGGTCTTAAAATTATGCATCGGAATTTTTTTTTAATATCCACAATTTACTTTAAACACACACACACACACACACACACTACATATTGTGTGTGTGGGGGTGTGTGTGCATGAGTTTGCTTGTTCTTTAAAATGAAGCTAAAGTAACACAATGAGGAATTCAGATTTGCAAACATCATGGCAATCCTTTTCATGGAGGACATAGACAAAGTGTATATTATATATACCTAAAGTCAGATAATAGGATGGAACTGGGATTTTTGTTTTTTGAGCAATTGCAATTTAAATGTCATCTTCCAAAAAACACACAGTGGCAATATATGCGGCTATTCTGATGTTTAGATATGGGCCCTACAGCCATAAGTGCCATCACCCCCGCTCTAGCATTTAAAGGTATAATACTTTCTTTACAATATAATGCATGACCACAGTAAGAACTGTAAAATTCGTTGTTAAGCGGGGCAGCTGTTAAGCCAATCGCACCCGATTTTATGACCTTCTTCGCAGCGGTCATTAAGCGAATCACTGCAGCCGTTAAGTGAATCACATGGTTGTTAAGCAAATCATGCAGCTCCCTATTGATTTTGCTTGCTGGAAGCTGGCTGGGAAAGTCACAAATGGTGATTATGTGACCGTAGGACGCCACAACCGTCATAAGTGCAAGCTGGTTGCCAAGCACCCGGATCATGATCATGTGACTGCGGGGATGCTGCAACAGTTGTAAGTGCAAGGATCAGTTGTAAATCCCTTTGTTCAGCACTGAACAACTCTGAGTAACTCTGAATGGTCACTAAACTAATGGTTGTTAAGTGAGGACTACCTGTAAGCATATAATAGCTGAATGAACTAAATTAGATGTTTAAGAGTATAGGAAAGTAAAGAATAAAGAATCAGAATGTCTGATACATTATCATCAACAGAAGTCACTGTGGCATCATGTAACTTTCCTATACATTTAAAATTAATTCTACAAAAAGTAGTATTTTACATGTATTGGACACCTAAGTGTGTCTTCAGGAAGAAACTGATGGGTTCAGCTAATTGTCTGGAGATGTACTGCTTAACATTAACATGGTTTCATATGATATAGTCGTATGCTATAATGGCTATTATTTTACATATTCATTTTGTTGAGAAGATTCAGTTTATTTTTTGCAAGCTCATATTCTCTTGAATTATATGCTAATGGTTTGAATTCGACAAGAGGGAAATGGAAATAGATACTGTATGCTCTTATGATAGAAAAATAAAGATATTAAAAGGATGGATCTCTATTAATTATACAATGATGTGAAGAACCTACTACATACAAATATTTCTTATAAATATTTTAATGCCAAGATCCCCAACTAGAAGACTAATTAGAAATTTGGACTATGTATATGAGTTTATATGTTTCATTTTTCATGTTTTCATATTGTTCATAAACTGACTTAAATATTAATTTTAAGGATAATATATGTTCAAAGCAAGGCTAGTTTTGACTACTGTATGATCATTTTCTTGCACGTAAATTGAGATACTTTTTCTTTCTGAAATTAAATATATTTTATATCGGCCAAACGTATATTGCTTATTATGAGTTATACTCGTAAATAGGCTTCCTCAACCCATTACCATTGAGATGCAAAAATGGATGACTTTGGGCCACTTGCTCTTTCTCAGTCCAAGGAAGAAGGCAAAGGCAAATCATTTCTTAAAATTTTGTAATTTGTTCTAGTCTAATTTATTGCATTTTGCCATTTTTATGTTGTTCTTTATTCTGTGAGCTGCCCAGAACAATAACTGGGAAGAGAAGAAGAGGAAAAGAAGAGGTAGAACAATCTGTTATATCATCCCAGTGAGGTGGATAAGTAAAACAGAGCTTCTTTTTTAATAATGAAGGAAAAGAGGAAGAAGAGAATAATGAGCCTGGTAGAAGGACCACAGATTCAATCCAGCCTTCCCCAAACTGGCATTCATTCAATCAATCTATCAATCAAGCTGCAAAGAAAACTTCATGGACTCGTTCAACAATTGCCAGGAGTCGAAACTGACTTGAAGGCACAAAAGAGAGAGAAAGAGAAAGTAGGGAAAAAAGGAAGATGATGCATGATGATCCAGTTCCTCATTGGGGG